TACTTCTTTGGAGGAAGAACTCCTCAAAAGAAGGATTACTCCCTTACTTCTTTGGAGGAAGAACTCCTCAAAAGAAGGATTACTTCTATTACTACACACGTGTAATGGTAAAAAAACGTGACGGAACTCATGCTTCGCGGGAAAGAGGGTGATCGTCATTTCTACTTGCAGTTCTAGATTCTCCCACTACGTGGCGGGCGCCCTCGTAGCGAACTTCCGGCTGCTAGCGGTAGAAAGTATAAATGACTTTTACAGTACAATACATTAGGAATTACAGAAAATAAAATGTAAAGGAATATCTCGCGCCTATCTGGATTCGAACCTATCCTCCCACTGCCTACGGCGTCCATGACGTTATCCACTAGGTCATCACTCACTTGGGAAACATTACACAAAAGGCAGAGAAGATGCCTTCCCAGGGGTTTTAGGGAACAAGGGAGGGAACAATAGCATTCAGGGAACAGGGGAATTATTTTCAGGGAACAAGGGAACTGCTGATTAGATGTTTGGGAACAAGGGAACTCTGATTTTTCATCTGTGATTTTTTACATTTTTCTGAGACTGTTTACAACAAACCTTGAAATATTTCAGGGTCATTTCAACATAGTGTGCTGTAGGGACCATATTAGGGCCCACAATTATAGGATATCTTGAATTTCAAGACCTACCCTGCTAACTCAAACCATTTTTTTGCTTCTTTTGGGAGTTTAATTTAGCGAGGTTTTACTAAACCAAACAAATATGGGGAACAGTGGCAAATATTTTTCGGGAAGAGAACTGGAAAATAATTGTCGGGATCGTTGGAACACAATAAGGTAAAACATTTTAGGGAGCAAGTTATTTTATTAATGGGGAACAAGGGAGAAAATTTATAAACATTGACGGATTAAGGAAACATGTAACCCTTCTAGGAGGGGCTCAGACAGATGAGATGACAGGTTTGAATCTCAGTGAGGAATATATTATTTTACGTTTTATTTATTTTTTTCATTTATTATTGTAATTTAGAATGTTCCTAATGTCATTTCGGGCTCTCTGCGTAACAGAATAAAATTAGGATGATAAGTATAACATTCGTAATTACGATAGGAATTAATCTCGTAATACAGTGGTTTCTGTTGCCTATAAAAGCCCTGAAACTAAATCCAACTTTTTGAGTTTCTGAGTTTTCGTGTTTCTGAGTTTCTAAGTTTCATCTGCGCATGCCTTTTCATATATTTTATTATATTCATATTTTATATATGTTCTATTATTAGTGTTCTATTGTCTCTGCTTCAGGTTTCGTGTATGCGCAGAAAAAACTTAATTAGCAACTCGGAAACTCAGAAAGTCGAAAACTCAGAAACTCAAAAACTCGGAAACTCTAAAAGTCGGATGTCGTTTCAGGCAAGGCCTATAGATAAACACCTATAGATATTAAGATTATAGATATAAAGCTTATAGATATTATTGATATTATCTATATGCTTTGGTTTCAGGGCTTCCATCGTAGGCTTCCATAGTTGCCTGCTGCCATCTAGCGTTGTTGCGAAGCCACCGGCCCGGCGAAATGCCGAAATGTGTAATAGTTTATGTCGTTGTCGTTGTCAAAATGTGGCGAAATATATACTTATGCATATACTTAAGTGGAAATATATGTGGAAATAGTTCACCATTATTATATAAAAATTTAACCAGTTTTATACGTGCATTTTTCTACATATTGTTAAATTTAGATGCATTTCAACGAACATATTTTAATACGTTTCGGTGTTTCGGAGGTGCCATGGGAAATAAGATGGCAGCTGCGGTATCCATGAGTGAGTAGCGTGAAGCTGTAGTTATCATGTTTCAAGCTGGTTTTGGGGAAGTTAAGATCGTTTGTTTATCAATTCCTGAATATAAAACTATTTTATAAACTCGGTTTTACTTGTGTAAATCAGTATTAATGATTAAGTAGACACGCTAATGCGAATAAATTGACTCTAATTAGTAATGTTTGTTGACAATGAGTGGCCATTATATTTATTAATATTATAATTAATATTACTACTAACTAGTAATACTAATACTACTATTACTAGTAATAGTATTACTTGGTAAATACTCGCAATCGAGTTATTACGCCTTACCACAGTCTGGCCGCTGTTAAAGGCATAATGTTTCCTTTGATTATGCAATGTTAACGAATGCTAGAGTAACTGGCACCTTGTGTAGTTAAGTATTATGCACGCAGAGCAATACTGGAAAAAATATCAGGAGTATATAAATATATATATATATATCACATCTATTATATAATGTTATATATGATATATATATATCTGAGTATTTTATATAATATAGATCTCTATAATATACACCCTGATAATATAATATGCACTGAACCAAAAGAGGACATTAACGGCTCATAGTCATAGATTGCACAAGTAAATTTTGGACAAGTAAAATTAAAATTCGAACAAGTAAAAATTGCTTCTTGTTGCCCGACAGGACAACCAGATCTGAAAATAAGCGTCGAGGCCTGAACCAAAAAGTAAAACTACCTCGGGTACATATCTGTACTGTAGTACCTGATAGTGATACTGATAGTGAGTGAGTGATAGTGATACTCTCATTACTGATAAGATCAGATAAGATAGTGATAGTGTAGATACAATAATGTAACCCAAACCCAAGATAGGGTTACAACGTGTCGCTATGGTTTTCTGTGTCCAGAGGAAATTCAGGGAACCCCTGAGTGAATCACTCAGGGCGGTTTGCTGGTGCGTTTTCAGAGACTAGAACTTCCAAACTGGGTTTATTCTCAACACGAACCTTTCTCCGCTATCTTGGAACTTCTAATGTATCACAATACTTCTGTATTAAACTAATATACCTGTTACAAAATTCGAAGTGACGAGCGCGCGATATTTTCGAGCGCGCCATTTCTGTTGACCTGCTGACGTACGCATTCCCAATGCGCATAGCAATCGGCCAAACACAGCGCCCTCCGATTGGTCGGTGAATCCGCTCTTCAAACCGCGAAGTACGTCACAGGTCAACAGAAATGCGTGCTCAGTATATTCGCACTCGTCACTTCGAATTTTTGTAACAGGTTATATTATTATTAGTTTAATACAGAGTATTGTGATACATAGTAAGTTCCCAAGATAGCAGAGAAAGGTTCGCCGTTGAGAATAAACGCCAGTTTGGAAGTTCTAGTCTCTGAAACGCACAGCAAACCGCCCTGAGTGATTCACTCAGGGGTTCCCTGAATTTCCTCCACAGAAAACCATAGCGACGCGTGTAACCCTATCCTGGGTTTGGGTTACATTATAGTATCTATTGATGTCATATGGGTCTATGTCCCCAGGGTACTGCCGCGAACGTACCCTGGTACGGTCCGGCTATACCGGAACGTACCCTGGCTCACTATTTGATATGGTTAGGGTTAGGATTAGGGATAGGCGTAGGCGACTCCCTAGAACTCGTTAGTGGAGTAGGCGAGGTACGGTCGGCATATTAGATAGTACCAGGGTACGTTCCGGTATACCGGACGCGTACCCAGGGTACGTCCCGGCAGTACCCCGGGGGACATAGACCCTCTCAGGGTTCTCCCAGGCATGAAATTCAAACAGGGGGAAGGGAGGGTAGGGGGAGGGGGAGGGGGAGGGGGAAAACTAGGGGGAGGGGGGAGGGGGAAACTAGGGGGTCCGCGGGCGTGTATTTTTACCGTGACGACTAATTAATGCGTAAAATCGGCCACCACACCATAGACGGTATTTGGGGTTCTTGTATATATAAGATAGCCGACGTCGGTGTACAGTTAGTGACAGGTTAACTGTGCATTGTGCAGCGTTAACTTGTGTACTGTCTGCAGTGCATGCGTGTACGGTAAAAATACACGCGTCGGATGTCTGGCTTCGAACTGGCAATTCTTGACGGGTTGATTCCCGCGCTGGCAAACTTTTATTGTGGTGGAATTTAAACGGGGCGGAGGAATTCAAAACGGGGCGGCAACGATTCAAACAGGGGAGTTTTCCCAAACGGGGCGCTGCGCGCGCCCGTTTGCGCAACGTAGGGAGAACCCTGCCTCTCAGCTCTAGTGATAGGGTGGCACTAGGGACAGCGCGTCTCCAAGTCGCGAAATAGTAGGTTTCAGTGGAGAGATAGTGATCCGCTAGATGGCGCATTATTAATTAACGTGGATATTCGTCGAGCATCCGACACCTGTTCGTATGCGCTATTCTCGAGCAGTTGCTTGCGCCATGCGCCTGTTGAGTAGCATGCCGAGGCGCACGGCCTCTAGTGTCCCGTGAGATAGGAAGATGGTTGCAAGGGGGGTCTGGGGGTCTCCCCCGCATACAATTTTTAAAATCTAGACGTCTAAACATGTTATTTGCTACTTTAGATTTATTTGATATTTTGCTTTTAGGCTTTTTGCCTTGCGTTTTTTGCTACGGCAGCCGCTTACGGGTGTGACGCCCCTGCATACATGCGTTGGCTATGTGGTTATACACCATAGATAGTGTTTTGGTACTATCATCCGCCTATATAAGCGAACCGAGTCGGATAATAATTAGTGGTAGGGTTAGATTGTGATTAATATTAGAGTTAGGTTAGATGTTAGGGTAGCGAGTAGGATAGTCCCTAGACTGGCATTATATTACATTTATGTAATACAACATAACAGCGCATGCGCAGCAACTGCTCGGACGAATAGCGCATACGAACAGGTTGCTCGATGCTCGGACGAATATCCACGTCCTATTAATTAACAATTAGGCCATGAGAATGAAAAATCCGGTTTTACCGTCCACCGCCCGCCATGCCGCTTTAGTCCCCGCCCAAAAAGTCATTATTTACCAAAAATTCAATTATTTGGAAAAAAATCTCCTCACTGAAACATAATACTAATACTAATAGACTAATCACAAGGTGTACTTAGCCTAAACAGCAATTCTGATGGATTTTGACAAGCTTGGGGCAGTCCGGATTTGTACATGCCACTTTTCTAACCGCCTAGACATATTCAGGGCGCCGGAATAAAGATTTGTCGAAAAAACCCGAAGATGACGACTTCAAACCGAAAATTCCCGAACGTGAAAAATGAAAAAATTTTCAGCCTGAAAAAATAAAATAATGCAATAATAAAGAGGGGCCGGCTAGATTGTTTATTTGTCTGTACTGTATTTGCACTGTATTTCAGCCTGAAAAATTAAATAATGAATAATAAAGAGGGGCGGCTAGATTGTTTATTGTCTGTACTGTATTTCACTGTATTTCAGCCTGAAAAATTAAATAATGAATAATGATAATGAAAAAAGCCTCATCACTTTTTAAAATTCCTTGGACGGTAAACCGGATTTTTCATTCTCATGCCTTAATAAAATCAGTTAACCTAACCCTAACCCAAATCCTAACCCTAACCCTAATCCTAACCCTAACCCTATCCCTAATTAATAATAATAATAATAAGGCCCCTCTAGGGAGACAATTCGGTACCATGGGAGACGCGCTGTCCCTAGTCGCCCAGCCCTAGTGTAGTACTAGTAGTAGTAGTGACAGTGATACGACAACGACTCCATCTGCGACAGTAAATTCAAATTCGTACGTGTGAACGCTCCGACTCAAACCAGCCCGAGCCAAATTTAGCCCATTTAGCTTGAGCAAACCATTACCGTCGCTGCAACGCCGTGCATGTTTTCAAGATTGATAATTGAACTCGGAACGGAAGTAAACACTGAATCGTACACAACGCGTATCTGTGAGATATTTGTGCAATAAAATTTATTTGAATTTGAATTTGAATTTGACAGACAGTAAAGCTCAAGGGGTTGTTGTCGTATCAGGTAGGGGGCCTACTAGTACCAGTACTACGGATATGTACCCGAGGTACATATATGTATACACAAAGTGTACCAGACTTGTACTACAGAAGTGTACCCTATCCCTAACTCTAACCCTACCCCTAAACATACCTCATATAAAAATATAAACATAATACTAAACAACAACAGCCCTCGACACTAACAGTTGTCCGATCGCCCGGGACAAGTGAAAGTCTATGTCAAACAAGTTATTCTCTTGCCTAGTTGCCCGATCGGACAACTGAAAAGTTCTAGTTGTTTAATATTCCTAACATTCTCTGAGCCAGGGCGCTATCGCACCACATTCTCACTTCAAACGTTTTCAAAGGTCCCTGAAAAAGCAGCCCACGACACCCACTGTTACCATTACAGATTTATTCAGAGCGGCAGCGCATACCTCCCTGGCCGGGGCGGCATTGATTTATGTACTGGGGTAGGAGTACGATTGTTTATAAGTCGGTTGGGGCATATTCTTTACTGAATATGTAGGGGGTGGGCATTGCTGGGATGAGAGGACGACAGCAAAACTCTTCCCTGTGATTGAGGAAAAAGCTGCAATCGGTAATGATACACAATGAGCGTGTCAGCATGCAAACATAAACGCGTGAATTTCATTACGATTTTACATGTACTGTATTTACTCGTGTATAAGTATAATTCATGTATATTATAAGTCTCACCCCATATTTTGCATTGAAAAATTGGTACAAACATTGGTACATTAACAAGATTTCTTAGCCTCGTCTATAAGTCACACCCCCTGATTTTTTTTAATTGAAGTTGTGTACAAAAAGCGCGGTTTATACACAAGTAAATACGGTATATATATACTGTAACTGTGTAATACACACGCACGCACGCATGCAAACGCGTGTGCAGACACATGCCTAGGTATGTGCGAGCCTATATGCACGC